CGAGCCGTCTTCAAAGGCAACCCCACGTAGAGAGCGTTGCAGTAGTCTAAACGGGATGTAACCAGAGCGTTTATATTTTAAAAATATAAATTTTTTAACTAACTAACTAAATAAATAAAGGGCAAGCTTGAAAAACGGGGACTTACAAGAAATGAGATTTTTTTAAAAACTGTCAGAACTGAGAAATTAATGGTTACAACTCATGTGAGAAAGTGGTTCATGACTTGGAAACACAAAAAAAATATGTATTGTGGAATAAATCTCTCTTGAATGGCATCTTATATGCTTTCAGGGTGGAATTGTAACTCTTATAATTCTCTCTAAACAGCTAAGGAGCAGCATTGTGCTCTGTACGGAGGAGGCATTGCTGAATGGTAGGCAAAGAATGGAGAGTGGGAATTTAAGAAATGCCTGTAGGCTGAAGATTGGAAGGCTGCAACAAAAGCCAGGATCTGAAATATGGAAACCCTGGGAGTCAGGGCTGTTAATAGGGGTCACCTTGTGTTTGATGATTTGTATTAAAACTCTAAATTGTGGTCTTTGGTCTCAAAATAAAATAAAGAAAATGCATAATGTGAGAAGATCGGGTCTCCAAGTGGATAAAGTTATTCAGAAGAATGTGTAAAAAAAGAAAGGAAAACATCTCTATAAAATTAGCTGGTGCTACTTCACAGCCTCCACCAATGCACTTCTGTTGAAATTTGTATTTTAACTTGGACACATCTGCAGGAGAAGACAGGAGAAGGTTGGGTGATTGGTACATTTTATGTTTTTCTAGTGCAATCTCAGAAAAAAGTATCCATCTTTCTCTTGCACCTTGAGGACACATCAATTCCACTGAGATCAAAGGGGCTCTTGAAAGTGATTCTAGCTTTTTGATACTTCTTCTTCTCATTCAGCTGATATTAAAAATGATTCGGAATGATCCCAATGATGCCGCAGGTATATATGTGAAAGAGCAAAAGTTCTACCATATGTGTACATTGTGCAGTATTTGCAGAACCCTGTAAGGCTTGCTATGTTCAGGGCTGGGGCAATACATCTTATTTTATTTATTTATTTACTGCATTTTTATCCCGCTCTTTCAGCCCGAAGGCGACTCAGGGTGGCATACAGATTGGCAACAATTAGATGCCACAAATATGCATACTTTATTTATTTATTTATTTACAGTATTTATATTCCGCCCTTCTCACCCGGCAGGGGACTCAGGGCGGATTACAATGTACATATACATGGCAAACATTCAGTGCCATAGACACACAACATATATAGACAGACACACAGAGGCTGTTTAACATTCCAGCTTTTTCATGAGGGTATTTTGGCCACCAGGGGAGCTGTTGTGTCACCGTCCATGTGTGACACTGATGAAGTACTTCCTTATTCTTTGCATGCTTGTTGGAGATTTTTATGGCGTCATAAATTAGTTAAATTAGCCTCCCCACATAAGTGGAACCTAAATTTCCTACTTGACAGATGCAACTGTCTTTCAGGCTGCAAAGGTGGACAGCAAGCTATACAAATTGGTCGGAAGCTCACTCCGACCCAGGCTGGCTTCGACCTCATGACCTTTCAGTCAGTAGTGATCTTATTGCAACTGACACCCTGCCAGTTGCGCCACAGTCCTGGTGTACATACATATCAATTAAAAACATTTAATATCACCTAATAAAAATCATATAAAAACCAATTAAAACGATAATAATTATTGTCTACCAGTTTAACTCCTTATCCATTTGCATCGTCTAAGCCGTTCCGTGTTCGTTATCTTGCTCCAGTTCCAGTTATCTTGCTCCAGTTCCAAGTGTTAGGAGTAGTCTATCTATAGCAGTTCAGTCTTAATTCAGCTTTGATAATGAACGAATATTTTGTAACACATCTGAATCATGCCCAGGACAAATGGTGTGGAGTCTAGGAATGCATCTACACTGTAGAATTAATGCAGTTTGGCACCACTCCAACTGCTGTGGCATCAAGGAAATTATAATTTGACAAGGCCTTTAGCGGGTTGCTGTGAGTTTTCTTGGTTTTATGGCTATGTTCCAGAAGCATTCTCTCCTGACGTTTCACCCACATTTATGGCAGGCATCCTCAGAAGTTGTGAGGTCAATTGGAAACTAGGCAAGTGAAGTTTATATATCTGTGTAATGTCCAGAGTGGCCCTTTAGCCTTCTTCATTTCAGAGTGCTTGTGCCTTACCAAACTACAGCTCCCAGGATTCCATAACATTGAGCCATGACAAAGTTATGTCTAACTGCCTTCATTTAACAGTGTAACTGTCCTCTTGGAGAAACATCCAAGAAATTGCTATTTGCCACCTAAGCTGATTAAATTAATTTTCCTAATAGCAGGGCTAGCCCTGGTCTTTATTGACTTCCCAGAGAAGCCACTGAAATTCCCAAGAAGCATGTAGGCAATTTCAACAGAAAGGAGGAAACCATGAAAATGAACAAAATCTGGCTACCAGTATTTTTAAAAACTCTAAAATCAGGACAATAAATAAAGAGCAACACTAAAAAACCAGGGGAATTCCAGACAAGAATCAATCAGGGCAAGCTAACACCTCCCAACAAAGGATTCCCCCCACGCAGCAATCTGCCAGGCTTTGAAGCTGCAAGGCCATTAAATGCTGCATAAAAACTACAGGCATTCTGTTTTGATTTGTTACGGTCCGTGGAAGAAACTCAGAAAGATCAACTAGTGCCCAGTCCAAACTAAACTGGACCCATTGTTTCAATGATATTTATATCATTCAGCTATTAATTCAATGGATCTATTTTGGTTTGGTCTCTAGGTGATGGATTTAGAACAAAGATCTTTGGTTATCGCTCCTAGATAACCATTAATCATTTTTAAAAGTACTTTTCAAAAGTTACCAAGAATGTTAATGCTTTTCTTGGAACTAAACCTAGATATTAGGAAAGAATAATACAATGGAAAGGAACCAAAGCTTTAAAACCAGGAAATCTCCCCTGATTCATCTTGTCACAAGGGAGATATATTGCCTCTTTTCCCAAGAATTGCACCAAGACAACAAAAAGAAAAATTGAAAGTGACTTGACTGCAAGTCCAATCTTACTAGACATCAGCATGACCCATTCAAAGAACAGCGCCTTAATTCCAGCTACATTCACCCAATATTTTATGCCATTATACAAATTTTGTTTGATTACGTTGGGTTTAATTTATTGATGTTAGACTATTATGTTTTGATATGTGGGGTTCCTCTGGGATTATTATCTTAATATTTGTCTGTTTATGGGGTCATTTATTTTATTTATTTATCGTGTCAGGAGCAACCAGACAGTTGTATTAAATTTTTAACAAAACAAACAAACAGGTAAAACACACAGTTTGCAAGCTTGGTAGTTGATTAAATGTCCTTGGAGCAGTAGCTGGCCCCTTGGAGTGCCTCTGGTGTTGCTGCAAGAAGGTCCTCCATTGTGCATGTGGCAGGGCTCAGGGTGCATTGCAGCAGGTGGTCAGTGGTTTACTCTTCTCCACACTCGCATGTCGTGGATTCCACTTTGTGGCCCCATTTCTTTCTGCATCTCGTGGTGCCAGAGCACAGTCTGTTTATCGCCTTCCAAGTCGCCCAGTTTTCTGTGTGCCAAGGGGGGAGTCTCTCATTTGGTATCAGCCATTGATTGAGGTTCTGGGTTTGAGCCTGCCACTTTTGGACTCCTGCTTGCTGAGGTGTTCCAGCGAGTGTCTCTGTAGACCTTTGAAAACTATTTCT